CTGATGATTTTTTTCTAAAAATTTTTAAAATCATTCTCTATCAATTTATTTTGTTGGTTTTGTCAATATATACATATGAAAAGTTTGAGCAATTTAAATTTTGAATTTTAAAAAAATGCAACTTCAGACAAGATTTTGGTACCCCAAATTATTTCAGCTGAAAAAGTGATAAATACCAAAGTTGAATAACTCATCAAGATCTACAACTTTTGTATTGGTCATTTCTTCATATGACAAAGTGGTAATGACATTGTTCACAAATGTGACACATCTCTCATAAGATTTTATAAAGTATATGAGACATGTGTAAGATTAATGAATAATGTGTGCTAAGAATTTGTCAAATAAAGAAATAACAAAAATAAAAGTTGTATATATTAATGAGTTGAACAACTTTGGTATTCATCACTTTTTATGTTGAAATCAATTTGGGTCTCAAATTTTGGTTCGAACTTGTCGTTTTTCAAAATTTTAAATTTGAAATGTTCAATTTTTGTCAAATGACAAGATGACTAAAATAAAAGTTGTAGATATTAATGAGTTGAACAACTTTGTTATTCATCACTTTTTATGTTGAAATCAATTTGGATCTCAAATTTTGGTTCGAACTTGTCGTTTTTCAAAATTTCGAATTTGAAAGGTTTAAATTTTGTCAAATGACAAGATGACTAAAATAAAAGTTGTAGATATTAATGAGTTGAACAACTTTGGTATTCATCACTTTTTACGTTGAAATCATTTTGGGTCTCAAATTTTGGTTCGAACTTGTCGTTTTTTAAAATTTCAAATTTGAAAGGTTAAAATTTTGTCTAATGACAAAATGACCAAAATAAAAGTTCTAGATCTTGATGAGTTGAACAACTTTTGTATTCATCACTTTTACATCTGAAATCATTTAGGTTTTTAAAATTTGGTTTGAACTTGTCAAATTTCAAATTTCAATTTTTAAAATGTGTAAAATATCGTCACATCCAATTTTGATCAAACTTAAATGCTGAAGCATGATTTTAGAAATTTTTAGAAAAAAAACCATCCCATTTGAAGTTAGTACGAGGAAAAAACAAAAGAATGAAAAAAAGAATAGAGGAAAAGAAGGGAAAGATGAAAAAAGGAAAAAAAAAGAAAAAGAAAACACAACCCACGCACACCTTATTCTAATCGGCCAAGACCCCAAACCCCCGACCCAACCTTATCCTCTCCACTACTCGCCTCCCCAGTCCCCACCCCGTCTCCTCCCGTGCATCCCATCCCTCAGTCTCTGGCGCCCCCTGCCTTCACCAGGTTGACGACGCAGTGACGCCCCAACCCCTTAGGTCACCGCTCCCAGCGCTTGGGCGGGCTGCGCGCTGCGCCCTGGTAGCTGCGTGCCTGCTGCACCACCGGGCGTGCCCTTGGTTGGGCGGCCGACGGGCGTGCCGTGCCCTTGACCTCGCCGGGCTGGATTCGTAGCAACCCAGCAGCCCTAGCTGCACCACCCCTCCTGGCCAGGCGGGCACGGGCAGCCGCGCCGCGCAGGGCGAGCTCCCAGGCCGCGTGCGCCCAGATTTGGCCCTGACCGTGGGCCCGAGTCCGTGCTTCCCCCTCGTTGCGGTGTTCCCCGTCTGCTTCTCTCCCAACTCGGACATCCATTAATGCGGTGAGCCCCTACTCCTGTTGGATTTGTGCATGGATGGATTATGGACATGTGTTTGGGGATCTAGGGTTAGGGTTGCCGCTGTACGGATCTAGTATTATTTGTGCTATAGCTCACCTGTATGGCCGTATTGCAATTAATTAGTGAGCAGATTATGTGCTAGTATGTGCTCTCGAGACTATTTTCATTTGGTTCAGCGGCAATCTAGTTCCTGTTACTCTGAGTCCTAATTGATCAGTAAATACTCTGAGCATCCATTTTTATTTGCTAGTATGTGCATATCTGGCTCCATCCTTTACAACTTGTACTTAAATCAGATATTGTAACTCAGACATGAAATATGTTGCTCTGTTTGCAATAAGGTCAGCTCTTGTTGCCAATGACAAAATACAACTTTTTGTGATCTTATTCTAGTGTTTTAGTCCTGATGTAAAAAATGCCACTTGTAGCATACTCAAAATGTTGTAGTACTGTGTTTGAACTGTGGGAGTCAGACCTGATAAATTATCAGAAGAATTTTGTCAGGCCTCATTTTTCTGGGACTGAACATGAAGTCCAATTAAGCTGGTTAGGCTGATACAGTGAAGCTGTAGTCATTCATACTTGGGTAATATTTTTAGATACTTGAGTTACCTCTCAGGGAAAATGTTTCTATCGCAACGTTTCTAAGATTGTGTGATTCTGTTCTCTTTGGCAGCGCTGAGGCATTTTCAGGAGGCTTGTCGTCATTACCAACTTGAAGTCGACAACACAAACCCTGAGAAAGGCATGGTCCCTGTCCATGCACTAACCTGTTAGCTTACTGAATGCTGCTGCTTCTCAGTTTCTGACATTGATGTGCTGTTGAAAGCTTAAAATCTACTACTGATTATTTTTTTTGTGTGGGATGAAATTAATGCACTAACCCATGTCTGAATTTCAGCTGCTTTCTCCAATTGTTGGCACCTTGCACTTGCACGATCCAAAAGGCAAGAAGAGTTGTGTAATCTTCTCTGTTTTTAGTTGCTGTAGTTGACGATCAGATTGTGTCATTTTTGGATGCTGTAGGATTAAAATTCTGCTTTGGCGTTCTATCCTACTTTTCATGTGGATATATTTGGCCTCTTTTTGCCAAACATTTTAGTGTGTTCCTCTTTGTAATATGTCTTTTTGTTACCCGTACTTTTATGCATTTTTCTGGTATCTGCAGAACTGCAGGGCTGAAAATTTTAGTCGGTTGAAACTTGCTTATTTATCTAGTGCCACCAAAATATCTAATTTGTCTTTGTTTGTTAATAGAACTCTCTTATCTTATGGTAGGGTCTAGTGCATGTTGATGAATTATTATGTTATTATTTATTAATAGAACAATTATTAGTCAATACTGCTAAACATTTCAGGAGGCTTGTCTTTTTGTTTTCCTTTTCTGATTCTGATTTTTTTTTCTGGTTTTACTTTATGTTAGGCACCATGTATGAGGGGCCACAAGCTGGGGGACAAGATCGCGACACTTTAGTAGCTAGTCTCGCCATATGGCAAGGTAAGGACCAGCAGCTATTTGCTTTGGGTGCTGATTATTATCTGTCATTACAGGAAGTACATTCCATCGCTGAAAACTGAAATCCGGCGTAGTATACTTTTCTGAAAGCATGTGTAGCAGTATTGTATGCTTTGGTTCAGATCTCAATAGCCCAAGTATAGATATTTTGACCAGACATGCACTAGTGTAAACAAAAGTGATTCCTAGTGATTCCTTCTATTACAGAATGCCACAAAACTTTAGATTTCAAACTCTTATTATCTGTTCTGAACATGAATCATTTTTAGGAGGCAAACAATATATATCTTTTTATTTGTCAGCATATTTTAATTTATAGCTACAGGTGTATATATGTTTTCACTACTAGGAACTTCTATGTTTGCTAATTATTGTTCTTTATCCAATAATTAAATACTATACGTAATTCTCATGTCTCACTATTCCATGGCCCAACAGCAGACATCAGACATGTTGATTTATAGGAAAGTTTGTATCCAAAATATTTGACAATGTTAAGTACAAATCCTCAAGGTAAGGGCTTTCATATGTAATGAATCTATCTCTGTTGAAATTGGTTTTCCCTGTAGCTGTCCTTGCATGATTGTTCTTAACAATTATTTGTCTCCATGGAGATTTCTTAGCAGTAGCAATATCTGCATGTGTAGTTGTGACTGCATCAAATGTACTGAATTTTCAGTATTGGCTAGAGCAAATGTTTGAACTTTATTATTCTAGTTGTATTTACTTGCTGTGATTTTGTGAAACCAGTGTCAAAATGTTTAGTGTGAATTGGTGTACTTCCTGGAAATGCTTAAATATATGTCAGAGTTGAGAAAAGATTATTGTTACTTGATTTGAATTTTATATTTTTTTTGCATTTGAATTTGAATTATTTTTTTTTGCTGAAAAATCCACTGTAGGGGCGGTTCTTGATTGGACCGCCCTTACAAATACACACAGCAGGGGCGGCTGGTGATACAGCCGCCCTTACAGAAGTCCACTACAAGGGCGGCTGATATTACCAGCCACCCCTACAGAGAGCACTGTAGGGGCGGCTGAAAACACCAGCCGCCTCTACAGAGGCACCCTCTATAGAAACGCTCTGGGAAGAGCGGCTGACGCAGCCGCCCCTACAGAGGCTCTAGAGTAATTAAATTCTGTAGTAGTGTCTACATCTCAATTTGGGCAACCATTCCGTGAATATTTTTTTACATATATCTCATGTCTCCAACAGACTCTAGGTTTCATTCTCTATACTACAATGGCTTATCAGAATTTTCCTTGTGTGAAAAAACATGAGAGAACTACCACATATTGAATTTAAGAGCTTATTGGAAAGCGAGAATGGTTGTTTTGGAGAGTAGAAAAGAGCGAGAAAGAATGGTTATTTTGGAGGGTGGAAAAGACAAAGGTTTGGTTTAGAAAATCTAATCAATTTATTGGAGCCTATTTTTTTTCTTTGTTTCTAAAATTTTGTGATAGAAAAGCAATGCTGAGAGGCTCTTGGAGACGCTCGCTCACGTCAAACACAAGATGAATCTCCAATTTCCAGTTGACTGATTTAATAACTACTATATATGTTTATGTTGTACTACTACTTAAGAAATCGCTCATGCACGGCGAACATTAATCGACACCAGCCTCAACTGTTACTCTCTTCCTTGAAAAAAAAACTGTTGCTCTCGAACATAGCAACTCAGTGCATAGCAACTGCACAAATTACGGAAAGACGAAGCAAATTAGTAACAGACTCTACCTAGATTTGTAATACTAGATCACAGTGCTCACTCAAATCAGCACTGACAGGCCCGAGGACCATGGTGTGGTGTTCTAGTGGTGGAACTGTCACTAGCAGACGCCGTTGGTCTTCTTGGCGAGCACAAACTTCTTCCACGCCTCCGTCACCGACCTCTGCGTCTCGATCTCCGACTTTTTCCTAACCAGCTGCGCCGGCGGTAGAGGGGCGGGAGCCTGGACGGGAGCGCGTCCAGCTGGTACATCACCTTCTCGATGTCGAGAACGAGGCGCTCGGCGAGGGTGCGGCTGAACTCCTCCCGGATGACGACGCGGAGCACCGTGACGTGCTGCGCGTCGGGGGCATGGTGTGTGGCCGGCACGATCCAGCCGAAGCGGCGTAGCATGTCGGAGATCTCGAACTCGTCGTGCCGGCTGCGGTCCTTGAGCGAGAAGGCCACCAGCGGGACACCCTCGTCCTTGGACACGATGTTGAAGCGGCCCGTCTTCTCCAGGCCCTCCTTGAGCACTATGGCGTTCTCGTGGCAGTTCTCCATGATGTTCCTGTACCCTCGAAGCCGTGGCGGATGAGCTGGTAGTACTGCGCGATGACTTGGCTCGAGCCCTTGGAGAAGTTGAGCGTGAACGTGGGCTGGTCGGCGCCGAGGTAGTTGATGTGGAAGATGAGCTCCTCCGGCAGGTCCTCCTTGTTGCGCCAGATGCACCATCCGATGCCGGCGTAGACGAGCCCGTACTTGTGGCCGCTGACGTTGATGCTCTTCACCCAGGGCAGGCGGAAGTCCCACTCCAGCTCCGGGTACAGGAAGGGCGCGATGAAGCCGCCGCTCGCCGCGTCCACGTGGATGGGCGTCCCCCACCCGGTCTCCCCGTTCTTCACTTCCAGCAGGTCGTTGAGCAGCTTCACGTCCTCGAACTCGCCGTTGAGGGTGGAGCCCAGGATCGCGGCGACGCAGATGGTGTTCTCGTCCACCATCTCCACCGCCTTCTCGGGGTCCATCACGTAGTAGCCGTCGCGCAGCTTCACCTCCCGCAGCTCCACCTCGAAGTACCTCGCGAACTTTTCCCAGCAAACCTGCAGGTTTTTAAGATTCGTCACCATCAAGCAGGTGATTGCGATGCGACTGGTTAGAGCCGATTCATCGTCTTGTTGGGGATAATAACACAACTCAAATTAAAGCTGAACACGCGAGGCAAATCAAATGAATTACCTGGACGTTGGCGCCGGTGACGATGTTGGGCTTGTCAAACGGCTTGCCCTCGGCCCTGCGCTTGTTCTGCCATCTGCGCTTGAAGGCCAGCCCGGCCAGCATGATGGCCTCCGATGAGCCCACCGTGCCGACGCCCACCGCCGTCTCGGACTCGCCCAGCGGCGCGTTGAAGAGATGCGCGATCATGTTCACGCACCGGTTCTGCAATGCAATGTCGACGCCGCCGGGTGTTAGAAGAGAGAGAAGAACACAAAATCTCAGTGGCTGCCGCAACGGCGCGGCCCAAGGTATAATCGAGATTATATTTGATTTTCAGGCAAAACAAAGTTCCCATTCCCACGAGCGCCATGAGTGACGATCATGGCTATTGGCATGAACTGATGAACAGAAAACTCGTGGGCTGCACCGGGAAAAACAAGTCGAACTTGGGGGGCCCGGCCTCCCGGCAAGTGGCAGCTTCCTATCCCCAACATAAACAATTGTGCCAGCATGGCGGGCCCCCGGCATGGTCAGGTCAGGCAACCTTCGCCGACCAACAACCGTCTCTCCGCTCTGAGAGCACGGCACGACAGGCGAGGGTCAGAGTGAAAAGATTGCTGAGGCCGGGTGATGTACCTGGAGCTCGGTGGTGACGGGGTACTCGTCCATGTCGACGTAGTTCTTGTTGATGGCGGCCATGATGAGCTTGTCGCACTCGGGCTCCATCCAGGTGGTGACGAAGGACGCCAGGTTCAGGCGCGGGTTCCCGTCGAGCATCAGCTCGTCGTTGATGATCTGGTACGCCGCCTCCTTGGGGATCGAGTTCTCCGGCATGCGATACCTGCGGGCGCGCACCCACCAAAACTCAGCATTAATTCGGCATGAACTGCCATTGCTCAAAGCCAGCTGCAGATAAATCGGTCGTTCGTTCCAGCACAAACGCCGGCAAGAACAAATTGGTGCGAGACAGAGTAACCAGCCGGTCCAATCGCAAGAATGAACAGCTGCAAAGGGGAGAGGGGGAATGGGTGCATACCTTGGGAGAGACGACCGGACGTAGCGCGACGCGAACGTGGAGTGCACGGACATGTCGCTCTCGGACACGGCCTTGGAGAGCACCATGGTTGCGATCGATCGATCAAGCGATCTGCCAACCTGTTTTCGTTCTTGGGTTTAGGCTTGGGGAAGAAGACGACTTGCAGTTGCAGGGGCTTGTGTGTTGTGGTGTGTGTTTGTGGCGGGGGTAGCGCACCGGTATTTATGCACCGGCTGGCCCAGGCGGCGTGACGAGAAGGAGAGACGACCCCGGGCTCTAGCAATAGCAGCAGGTCACTTTTCGTCTGGAAAAAAAAAAACTTTCCATTTTCGACGACTTGCTTGCATCGTAAGACGGCGGCCTCTCTATCTAGAGCGCAGGCGAAAGATCAGCGGTGCGGTGGTGCCGTTTTTGGGATGAGTTTGTCCCCACTGCGAGCTCTCGTTTGATTTGACGCCGTGGGAGGTAAAAATGGCATTGCTTGGTTCGATTGATGGACGACGATCTGATTTCGCCCTTGTCTAGTTCTCCAAAAATACACTATGTAAAAAGAATATTCCTCGTCACATCAAACTTGCGGTACATGTATGAAGTACTAAATGTAGACGAAATCAAAAACTAATTACACAGTTTACTTTAACTTTAAGAGACGAATCTTTTAAGCCTAATTAGAATGTTTGGACAATAATTCGCAAATACAAACGAAATGCTACAGTGGAGAATCGTGCACTATGCAAAGCCGAACTAAACTCGCCCTTCATTGCGAAAGAAGCAGATCAATCCATGTCTGCAAAACACGTATTGGTCAGAGCCAAAGTTAACTTTTCTTTTTAACTTGCTCAAGAAGAACGGATCAATTTTTACGTTTTGTCCACGGTCCCACTTGGCTCCTCGCATCACCCAAAAACAAGAAAGAAAATAATAGCATGGAAATAAAGACAGGCTCTGACCGTGGTTCAAAAGGAAAAAAAAGGAAAACCCAAGTTCTCTGGCTATTCACAAAAGGTCAAATTAAGCCTTTCGAGTTTTGACCCGTGAACGTGTACCAGTAGAGAGTTTCTACTCCTGGAAAAAGCAAACAGAACCTGTAAGGAACGGGCAAACCATCTGTAAAGACCGGACATGTGCGTACAGGATGTACTAGTACTAGTACGTTTTTGACATATATACATACGCTTCTGCGTTGAATTTTCCGGTCAGCACGAGTCAGTGCCGGAAGTCGGTAAATAAAAGAGGAAACTTCTTGTGTTGTATCCACTCTCGCTGGGCTACGCACTAATTCAGAAGCCTAAGCTAACGCACCGAGACCGAGCCATCTCTGTATCTATCTCGTGCCGGGTTTCGTTCATTACACCTACGAGCGACCCAGACTCGCCCGCTCTGCCGTCTGCTCCGTACGCAGCAGGCGCGGCGCGGGGTCGTCTCCCCGTGGGATTTTTTTAAATTTTAACATTTTTTAAAACTAATTTTAAATCTAATATTTTTTTTCCCAAAACTAACACTTTTGGTCGCGCCTATTGCCATGGCACGGTCAAAAGCCTATGCCGCGCCATGCATGGTGGCGCGGTAGGAGGCTGACGTGGTGATGACTGGAAAGACTGACCGTTGACGTGGCAGGGCCTGCCGTGCCACCGATCCGTGGCGCGGCAGAGCCGAATAAAAGCCCTACGGTCAGTCCTGTCTGCCTGAGCAGCAAGCCCGCCTGCCTGCGCCTGGCCGCCGCGCCCGCCGCCCACCCGGCCCTCCGTTGCCGTCTCCCTCCCTCCTCGTCCTCGTTCAAGGTTAAGGTTAATTATTAAGTTAAAGGCAATGTATCAAGTGCAAACCAACCTCTCCGTGCAAACCGTGCAAACCAACTGCTGGGGAGAGGTGGGAGGGGGGATTTGCAAAAGTGTAATTACGCTAATTACACTTTTGCAAATCCCCCCTCCCACCTCTCCCCCGCAGTTGGTTTGCACGGTTTGCACGGAGAGGTTGGTTTGCACTAGATATGTTCCCTAAGTTAAAAGTATGTTTATCATGTATATTTTTGTTGCTATAAGTGTTGGTTATATTATTTTAGTTGCAATGTAAATGATTATATTTTATATTAATTTACGTTGTTTTGATTGATGTTTAATTTGAACCATTTTATTAGATGGAAGAAATGTTTCGAGAGCAGTTGTGGCGAAAACGGTATCGTCCTAGAGAATTATACCCCGACGAGTCTAGCAAAGATGCTCCCGTCCCTCTGAACTTCCTGTTCCTAACTGTGACTGTGGTCGTCCGGCCGACGTGTTTCAATCGAGACATCTGGACACAGCGGCTCGTTGCTTCTACACATGCAGTCGTTTTAATGTAAGTAATTGTTTCCGTATATTTTTTTTCTTCATTTGTATTACTAGGTTACTAATATTTTGTTGGAATTTTATTTTGTAGGCCCATGAGAGGTGCCTTTTCTTTCAGTGGATCGACGGTGTAGACAAGTTTGACCCCAGGTACCTTCTTTTCGACGATTGGTGGAGAGGGCGACATCCACGAGAGCACTTTGAGCGGTGGGTTCCACCTCCCCCTAACCCGTCTCCAATGACGGCTAAGGAGAAGCACTTAGCCATAGTTAGACGACTCGAGGAACTTCCTCTGTGCGATTGCGGAGATCGAGCTGTGATAAACGCTAAGAATACGTTGGAGTTTATGTGTCCAAACAAGCATGAAGTAAGTGCAAAGTGTATGTGTTGAAATATTGAGCTATATGTGTTCATGTATTAATGACACGTTATTTAGGTGTATTCAATGGGGAAGTGTCGTTTCAAGGAATGGTTGTATGGACCTAAGAACCAATGGCCAGAAGAACCTCCAAAGGCAAAGCAAAAGAAGAAAGAAAGGTTAATTTACAAAGCACCTCCAATCAAGTGTGAATATGATGTTAAATCCAACTACGGTCTAGTCCCTTCGGAGCTTGGAATATGCCATTATTGCGGCCATATGGTTGACTATGATGAGGTTAGTTATTTTTGTGGTAACCTTGAAATCATATTTTATTTCTTTTGCTAAGACATATATGATATAATTTTTCGTTTGAACAGAGCACTAGGAAATACATGTGAGAATATTATGATGGTCAAGCTAAATTCTTGGATGAACTAAAGGGGAAGCAAATAATTGCATAGAAGAGGGGATATGGACCTGACTACGTTAACCTTTTCGTTAAACATCACAAAGATAAGATGCGTGAGTTTGCTAGACAGCGCGGTATTTATAACTCGATCGACGTTGGGCTTGACCAATGAGGATTGGAGAGACGGATGACGTTAGAGGAGGAGAGGGCAAGGAAGGAGGCAAGGGAGGAGACAAGAGTACAGATGCAGGTCTTGAACAAGCATGTTGTTGCATTATGTGTCAGTGAGTGCTTAAAAGCCTTTTTTCATTACCTGATTTTAAATGTAATATAATCACGTTGCTAACTGATTACATTTTATACATGAAGGGATTGGATGCAGCGAGGAACATGCTGCAGAGGTGGCTCGTGCAAGGTACGAGGAAAAGAAGTTAGATGAGCACAGAAAGCAAGCTGATCGCACCGTTGAATCACCGATTGTGTTGTCTGCTGAGGGAGACAAGGATAAGGACGACACTACCAGACTCAGCGAGCTCATCGCTCTAGTAGAGGTGGGCTTGCAGGCGGAGGAGTATGACGACGCGTTCTTCACTGAGGCCGCAGATGCCACAGATGAAGTGGAGGCCGCTAACAACAGGCGACACGGAGGTCAGAGCAATGCAGGTGAGCCTAGCCACATGAACGAGGAGGAAGAGAACGCGTTCTTGTCTCAGGCCGCAGATGAAGCGGAGGCCGCTTACTACAGGCGAAAGGCAGATCAGGGCAATGCCGGTGAGCCAAGCCACGGCAATAGGGTTGTGTTTGAGGATTGGTACTCGGACGACGAGTTGCTTACTCAGTATGTTTCTGACTGAGGGTTTTTTATTGCGCCGTCTGTTAGTTCCATGCTTTATTAATGATCAATGTAGCCATGTACTAGGAATTCTATTGTGTTGTCTTATATTCCATTTAAACTATTGATGTATTATACCCATGTATCATGTACTCGGATTACCCATGGTTGATCTTAAGTGATTCCATCCGTTTGTATCATGCGTTGAGAATTTCTAAAATGAACATAATCGAGTGAAATTATCTCGAATACGGCGCCATAGCCCACTGGTTCTGCCGCGCCACAACCTAGGTTCTGCCGCGCCATAGTCCACGGTGCAGTAGTGACGCGCCATATCCCATGGCCTCCTTCAAATGTTCAGCTCTGGCCTTTCCAAAACACCCCTGCTCAGCTATATTCCTTTGCGCAAGTTCCCACCTCTTCACAAAATATTCGTTGCACTTATGAAAGGAGAACTCAACAATTCTAGACACAGGCAACAATCGAATTCTGGCGAATACACAGTTGAAGGACTCCGAGGAGTTAGTGGTCATGATGTCATACCTGAAACCCCCCTCGTCATATGCTAACGCCCACTAAGCCTTCTACTCCATCTACGCCTCTAACCAGGCCTTTCCCGCTTTATTTACCATCTTGTCTAGTTCTCTCTTTGTCTCCTTGAACTGGTGCTCTGTACGTACACAACATAGAGCCTTTACCTTATCACATACCCCTGCTTTCGCTGACGCCGCCAGAAATTAGCGGCAAAGTGTCTCATGCACCATCTATGCACTAGAGGCGGGGAACCCATCTATATGCTCAGCTGCAACATTAAGAAGCCCTGGATGATGGTCTGAGATAAAACATATAGTGCGAGATGAGCCAAGCACTTGTACACATAGAAGCCGCATGAACCATGACCATGAATCATTGTTCTCTCCCTCTGCCAAAGCAAAAGCCATGGGTACTATCTAATCCCCAGGATCAACAGCAGCAGCCATCATCAAGGTGCCCTTGTACTTTCCTGTTAGGAAAGTACCATCAACAAGTACGACTGGCTGACAAAACTGGAATGCATGTTCTGTTTGCGCGAATGACCAGAACACACGATATAGGACATGCCTCAACGGGTCCCGAAAAAACATCCCTCCGGTGTCCACAAACCATTTCAAGCCAGG